ATGCCTTGAAATTGCGGGTGTTTTGGGAGTAGGATCGAGGTAGGGCTTCTCGCTGGCAGCAGGCGGCTCAGGTGGAGGAGGCGTAGATGGAAGGACTTTCGGAGGAGAAACACGTGTGCTCGCAGTCTTGCTTGGTCCGATCCGAAGATCTGATATCCTGTCTGTCATATCCGACTCTGGATCCTTTCCTTTTTCTGAGGATACATCCTGAGAGACCTTGTTTTCAGGAGCAATGTCACTGCCCTCTGGTTCCAGATCGATCAGGTCGGATGAAGTACTTTCCGACGAAACGGCTTTCTTGCTGGCGTCCATGGCTGCATGATTGCTGTTGGGTGACATTGAGGACCTCTCTTAGATGGAAAGTTGATGGCTTGAGAGGATCTGTGGCATGTTTTCCAAGTTCTTCGGTTTTCAAGGCTTGTAGGATCGCCGATCTAGTGCTGGTTCATGATGGAGCATGGACAGGCTGACGAGGCGTCACGCGACGGGGGAGAGAAGGACGCCGTCTAAGCGAGAAAGAAGACCGTTGTCAACAGGAGAGGAGCAAGCAATCTCAAGTGAAAGGTCGAGAATACCCCTTTGAGCAAAGGTACTACTGCTCTGATGCGCTTCCTCAAGGATTCAGATGATAGTCGCAGCCCTGCATCATTGTCGGAGATGCTGCAAGGCCACCAGCGCAGTTTGAGTTTCCCCAAGCGGGAATCGTGCAACTGGCGTGGCTGGTTGCCAACCGATCGTTTGGAGGTGGAACTTGGACTTGGACTCGCAAGACTCGGTATCCATCCTAGTCAGCGTCTGATTGGTCAGCCTTCTATATCTCTTGGCACGGTGATTGTTCCGCAATTTCACTTTTCTCCTTCATATCCACGCCTGTTTCCTCTTGTGCTTCTTTCTTTGCGTGCACTTGCGTACCCTATTAGCCCGGACACACAGCATCTGAAGCCACTGCCCTATGTGCGGCATCTTCTTCTCGGTCGCAAGAAACCGGGCGATCCTACCCGATCCCCTTACGGCGAGTGAGCTCAAAGCACGTGGACCTGACAGCTACAAAGAGTTGAATGTCAAACTTGCTTTCCCACCATCCGACGATCTGTACCTGACTTTTGTCTCAACCGTCCTGGCACTGCGGGGGCATTCAGTCCAGATCCAACCGTTACAAGATCATATCTCAGGATCCATCCTCTGCTGGAATGGTGAGGCATGGAAAGTGGACGGAGTCAAAGTCGAAGGAAACGACTCGGTCCAAATATTTGATCTTCTCTTGCGTGCCTCTCAGTCGACCGAAAATGGTGACTACCAGCGACGTATTGCCCAAGTGCTGACAAACATAGCGGGGCCTTTTGCATTTGTCTTCTATGATGCTACTCATTCTGCCGTATTCTATGGGAGAGATCGGCTTGGGCGCCGCTCTTTGCTCACTAGTCGCGGCGATGAAGATTCGCTGACGTTGTGTAGTATCGGCATTACACCTGTTGGCGCATTGGATCAAGAGGTGTCTACTGATGCCATCCATCTCATCTCTGTGGAACACAATCAAATCATACGTGGCGAAGTTCCATGGGCGAATGCGCTTCCCGCGATTAATAAAATTGGCCACTTGGATGTTGCTGAATCGATGCCGACTTTGAAAACTGTGGATCGCTTCCTGGAGCTGTTGAATACTGCTCTTGAGCTACGACTCCTGGACATTCCAAGTCACCACCACTGTCAGGCTACGCCAGTTTCCTCAAAAGTCGCCATACTCTTCTCGGGCGGCTTGGACTGTACGCTGCTCGCTCGCCTTGCACATGATCTTCTGCCCAAATCAGAATGTATAGATCTGTTGAATGTGGCATTTGAGAATCCACGGTCCATAGCTGCGAAGAAAAATACCACAGTTTCGCCCTATGAACTCTGTCCTGACAGAGTCACTGGTCGTTCTAGCTTTGCAGAAGTTTGCGAAGTGTGCCCGGACCGAGACTGGAGATTTGTGGCAGTTGACGTTCCTTACAAACAGTCACAGGCTTACAAAGCCAGTATACAACGACTGATGCACCCTCACAAGACGGAGATGGATTTGTCCATCACCATGGCACTCTTCTTTGCCGCTGAGGGCACAGGGATTCTATCCCAGAACGCAGAAAAACAGTATCCACCCATGGAGCTCTACACCTCTCACGCTCGAGTCCTTCTTTCGGGCTTGGGAGCAGACGAGTTATATGCAGGGTATTCGCGACATGCTGCAGCTTTTGCTCGGGGTGGATTTGTCGACTTGGCGGACGAACTCGAGCTAGATCTCAATCGGATCGGGTCTCGTAACTTGGGCCGGGACGACCGTGTTCTGAGTCACTGGGGCAAAGAGGTGCGTTACCCTTATCTAGATGAAGATTTCGTGAGATTCTCTCTAGGTCTTCCGGTGTGGGAAAAATGCGGGTTCAGAGCAGCAAAAGAAATCCCCAAGCATTACGAGGAAGCCCGCCGAGTACACAAACCCGAAGATCTTGAGCCGTCGAAGATGTTGCTGAGATTAGCTGCGTGGAAGCTAGGCATGCGGAGAGTTGCTGCAGAAAGGAAGAGGGCTATTCAATTCGGCGCCAGGACTGCAAAGATGGATATTGGCAAAGGAAGGACAAAGGGGACAGACGTCTTAATCAACGAAAGTTGATCTTCTCGGCACCATTGCAACACGGGAAGAGCCGCGGACTAATCGACCAGTTCCACGCCTAGGACCAGCGGAGGGTATTGATGGAGCGGCTATGATGACAATTCACAGATACTTCTGAGGTCTGCACGACTTGCGCTGGATGCAGCACTCCTCCAGGATGCGACTGTAACCGCCAAGTCGACCCATGAAGACTGAAAAAAGGCAAGTCTGAGCCGCGGAAACGGGTACAATGTCCTCGATCACTCAACGTCGATGAGGCGGGCTACTGATGTCAATGATTCGACACCGTACATGCGTGGGAATGAAAAGCCGCATTCCAATTACGGAACTGCAATGAGATGCCAATACCACTACGGAGATCTGAAGCCACTCTTTGGCGACGGAGAAGAGCGTCTTGGTAATGCTTGCGCTCTCCACTTCCATCCCCCACTTACTCTTGGTTGCATAAAATTCTGGCCGACAAGTACGACTTCTCGAAGGGCGTGATGACGATCGTGGGTTTGACAAATTCAGAGGATTTGCAGAGGGCGACTGCTTTCTGTTTCTCTCTGTCTTGTTATCGAAGATCTCGACACCTATCTCGACCTCAATGGACACGGCCGCACTCCCTGTCATTCAGCAGGTAGAATCTCATAACCAACCACAGCAAGACGTGGTTCCTCTAGCCGAGGGTGACACAATACCAATACAGACCAGCTCCGAGGCCAAAGCAGCAGCTGCCATTAACATTCAGAAAGAAGCCTATGCCTACGGCGATGCTGAGCAACAGATCACAACACTTGATGTTGACGAGGCGGAACCAGGACATGGACCAAACGACACTTTTCCTGAAGGCGGCCTTCAAGCTTGGCTTGTCCTGACCGGTGCTTTCCTCGCTCTCTTTGCTTCGTTTGGGTTTATGGTGTCTATTGGAACAATCCAAGAATACCTTCAGATGCACCAGCTGTCGGCCTACACATCCCGCGACATCGGCTGGATTCCTTCTGTATTTGTTTACTTGGCTCTCGGATTGGGCATCTGGGTTGGACCTCTCTTCGACCGGTACGGCCCACGGTGGATTGCATTGATAGGGAGTATAAGTTATGTGGTCATGGTCTTTCTGTTAGCAGAATGTCAAAAGTACTGGCAGTTTCTACTGTGCCTTGGATTCCTAGGTGGGATTGCTGGCGCAACTTTGACTACGACTGGTTTGGCTGTGGTCAGCCATTGGTTCAAGCGAAGGAGAGGTCTCGCGCATGGAATCGCAATGGTCGGGTCGAGCTTTGGCGGCGTCACGATCCCTCTGATCCTGAGGGCCACGCTCCCTAAATATGGGTACGCGTGGTCTATGCGTATCCTGGGGTTTTTGTTCCTAGCATGCTTGGCCCTCGCAAATGCGTTGATGAAGCCGCGCTTGCCGCCGTCTGCTGAAGCACGGAAGAAAGCAATCATATCGTTGGGACTATTTGGGGACTTGAAATTCACCTTCCTTACCATCAGCGTCTTTGGGTTTGAAATTGTCTTGTTTGGTGCGCTGGGCATCCTCCCGACTTACGCGAACTACGGCAACAAGTTCCCGCCGGACACAGGGTTTTATATCATATCAGTCCTCAATGCCTCGTCCTGTTTCGGACGGATCATCCCGGGCTACATATCCGACTTTGTGGGCCGCTTCAACACCCTCCTCTTCATGATCCTCTTCACCTTGATCCTCATGGTCGCCGTCTGGCTCCCACTAGGCCACACCTCCCTGGCTGCGCTCTACGTCTTCGCCGCATTCTTTGGCTTCGGCACTGGCTCGTGGATGGCCTTGACCCCGGCATGCATAGGTCAGCTCTGCGAGGCGGATCAGTTCGGACGGTTCTACGGCACATCCTATTTCATCGGCAGCCTTGCGGCTCTCGTCTGTATCCCCATCAGTGGTGAGCTGGTAGAGGCGGCTGGTCCACAGATCATGGTCGGGTTCATGTGTGTCGTCGCGGGAGTGAGCATGGGGACGTTCATACTCAGTCGATGGGCGTGTTTGGGTTGGAGGTGGCGGTGGATGGCCAAGGTATAAGCAAAGGTAGTAGACAAAAAAGAATGACTATGTCAAGATGTGATATTGTGTATAGTCGTATATATGCTGCCATGTTCAAGTCTATGTCTATATCTATATTCTGTGCACATCCGTTCCTGGGCTGGATCCTGTACAAAGACAACTCATCCGCGTGCGTCGGATATAATTAGAGGAGAAGATATGGTGTATCAGTCGATTCATTTCTGTCAGATGCTGCCCTTTGCCCTGGATTTGCAAACTATATAGCTGGACAACCCATGGCGATTCGCACCATTCCGTCTGTGCTGGAGTTCTGGTACCACCTTTCGCTCGTCCTTGTCATACATTGCTGTTTGGAGGCTTTTGATAACGCTTGTTCCCCCTGGCAATGGTGATTGCAGGGTATATGAGCAGCAGGCCGCCCAAGAGACTGGCAGCGCCTCCAAAGGCTTGGCCGTGCGCGTAGTCGTCCGTGGCCGTGTTGACGAGAGCACCGGCAATGGGCCCGCCGATCAGGCCTGCAAAAGCGGAGCCAGACCATGCCATGCCGGTCCTTGCGCCCACGACACTCGGCGATGGTGACAGCAGAGGAACCACCGCGGCGGGGATGGCGACTGTGATGCCTGCCATGAAGCCCACCAGCACGGCCCAGACGGTGACGCCGGGGACGTTGTGGATCCCGATCCACGCCAATATCAATACGCCGAGACCGATGCCGCCAGCTACGAGGACAACCGCGGGGCCGAATTTGTGCGCGACAAAGGCAGGGAGGATTCGGCCGGCGAAACTGCCCGCGTTCAGAATGGCTAGCAGATAAAATGCGTACGAGACGTTCGTTTTGACGGAGAACTGGGCGTATGGCGTAATGTAGATCAAAGGCACCCAATATCCTAGGAAGACAAAGAATAAGCCAACCAAAAGGACGACAAACGGCGGCTCTTTGAGGGCTGAAGGGTCGAACAGCTGTCCCTGGAGGCGTCTGTGCGTTGGAACTGGCTGGAGCAGGAAGAAGGCAGCTATTACCATGCCCAACATGATGAACCCGAATATGCGGTTGGTCCACCCGAAGCCGATCTCGGGTTGTAAGTGACGAAACATGATGGGCAGCACGATGCCTCCAACGGCTGCTCCAGACGATGATCCTCCGATGGCAAGTGGTCGTTGCTTAGCGTTGAATGTCTGGCTGATGACGGCTATCGAGGGTATATACAGCATTCCATTACCTGGGACACCCGTCAGTACGGTACCATGACAATTTGCTTATGGCCGAGTACTTACCGAATCCAATACAGACGCCCTGGGCCAGAATGATCTGATAGTATTCCTTGGCAAGGCTGAGCATCATGAAGCCAAATGTGACCAGTGAACCCCCGACAACCAACAACGTTCGAATGTAGCCTCTGTCATAGAGAGCCCCAGAGACAATCCCCGTCAGTCCCATCAAGGACACCTGAAGAGTGCCAACCCATGATATGACGGATGGCGTATGAGAGGCCAACAAGTCCTTCTGATAAAAAGCTTGATAGGCACTGAATGAGGAGGCAACACCCCAGGTGATGAAGAAGACGAAAAAGCACCCTATAATCCTGCAGGTCGCGGTAAAATCCCGCTTGCTCTCATGGATATTACCGTCTCGCGCATGGTCAGTTGGTGCAGGCGGCTCGCCGAGAGGGATGCTCAGGGCAGAGTTCTCCCCATCTTTCTCCTGTGTCATGTCCTCTTGACTAACTCTCTTGACAGGTGTTTGACAAACCTCATACTGAAAGAGGAAGAGAGAGAAAGAGAGTCATTGATAGAGGAGAAATGAATCTTACATTTGGATCGGCACTTATCAACGGCTCCAGATGCCGTGATACTAGCGCGATTCACGGAGCCTGACATTCCCCCGGAGATCCTTAAAGCAGCGCCACCGGCGGCGAGGTTTTCCGCTGCCTTGGCAGGGACCGAAGTGCGGCTCTCGAATGGGGCCTTCGAGGTCTGTTCGCGTCTGCTGCTGTTACTGCTGCCACCAATTCTGCGAACGACCATCAGCCCCGTCACTTCGTCCTCAGCCTTGAGGTCAGCCTCACTTCGATCACGACGCGAACTTGCTTGTTATTTCACAAAACAACAAACGGACGTCTGCAGTCACCACCGAACCTGCATTGTCATGTGAATTTTCCTTGCCTGTTTAATCGACTATTAGAAAACCCTCTCGACCACAGATTTCAGCTGTGCCCAAAATCCTCCTTGACTTAGCCTCAAACCATCACGTTTGCGTTCACTCCCACGATCAACAAGATGCCTGACGAACATGATGTCAAAGATGAACACAAAGAGAGCCATGAAGATGGTGGTGAAGAGGAAGAAGTGAGCATCTCCCACTAATTACTCCACCGTCCTATACTCGGTTGATCTGTGCTCACATGTGTCGACAGGAAGAGATTGCGGCGATGAAGAGACGCGTCGCCGAGATGGAGTCTGAAGCGGCCAAACTTCGCGAAATGCAAAGCCACCTCGAACAATCCTCGGAGACTATGCCTAGGGAAGACAGAGAGGATGTGGACGCGCGCAGCATCTTTGTCGGCAATGTGGACTACGGCGCAACTCCTGAAGAGATTCAAGCACATTTCGCCAGCGGCCCAGGGACGATAAACAGAGTCACCATCCTCCTGGACAAGTTCACTGGTCATCCAAAGGGGTGGGTCTAAAATAAACTCCAAGCACTATCATGCATAAGGCTTGTTCAAGAGCTGGATGCTATTCTTTCAAGACCCTCAAGAAAAAATCATTTCATGCTGCCTGGCAAGAGATGGATTGCTAATGGAACTATCGCGCAGGTATGCATATGTGGAATTCTCAGATCCAGGACTGGTGGCTCAAGCATTGGTGCTCAATGAAAGTGTCTTCCGTGGCCGCAATCTCAAGGTCAGGTCCGAGTCCTGGTCTAGGTTTTCTAAGATGGTGCTGACAAGATACTTCAGGTCGTTCCCAAGCGCACAAATCTTCCAGGCATGACTCGAGGCAGAGGAAGAGGGGGTCCTGCTCGTGGTGCTCGAGGAGGCTTCGGCGGACGAGGAGGCTTTGGAGGAGGCTATGGGGGATTTGCTGGCGGAGGCTATGGTGCTCCACGTGGGGGCCCTCGCGGCGGCTTCCGAGGGCGTGGCCGTGGATTTGCACCGTACTGAGAAGAGACTGAGAAACCCTTCTTATTCTCGGCTTCACTCAAGTCCTCTGCGACATAGCACGCGACACTGCTCAAGGTCATGGAGGTCCACGACGGAGGCATCAAGAATGCAAGCAGCGTTGATGCTGGGATTTTTCGGCATATTGGAACCGAGAATTGGTCAACTGCGACTTGTCATTTATTTCGAATGGCATACAGTCAGTAATGGCACTTGACTTCTTGGGCTGCTCGGATCGATATTGGACGGGGACCAGGCCGAAAGCCTTTTGTAAGATTTATGGAATCAATATGGGCAGAGACTGAGACCGCCACTACAAAAGGCGACCAAATCTCTCTACAATTGAGACAATGTGGAGATTAATAATGACTTGGGGATTTGGTCTTGATGTGCGGAATGTTTCTTCGCCCTCAAATTCCGGTATGTGGTGTTTGATATATAAACCGATGGGGTTCATTGACGTTTTGGTGGTGGTCGGTATGATGTAAGCCTTGGTTACCTTTTGGTCTCGTCCCAGAGTCTTGTCCCGGTCAAAATCCACCCACCAAGACTTGAACTTCCGTCCCGCCTGAAGATTATCGACCTTCGCTCTACCCTCAGATTGGCAGCACCGTAAGATACCATCGAGACTGCGGCTGCTGCTGCCATTGCAACAGTGGCATTATTGGTAATTACGCCTCTTCAGCTATTACACAATCATGACTTGAGCGAGGTGGAGCGTGTCCTTGCCCGTCCTCTTCCGCAAACCTCTTAGCGCCTCACACTCTGTCGAGCTGCGCCTCGTTGACTCTCCAAACCCGCCGCTCATTCACCCATTAAGTCACTTGCGAATACGCTCCGGGCAACGTTCTGCGACCCCTGCGGACATCAAGTCCATCAACTACCTTTGATTCTACGCATATTGTTATTGTCTCTGTCAAGCCAATATTGCTGGGTTGTCCTCTCTATAACAGATCCTTCCCCCAAGTTACCCCGCCGCGCGAGAGCTGTCCGCAGGCTGCGAACCCTGGGCGCTTCCCAGTGGCTGATCAACCAAGATGCCTGAAGCAAATCTGCCTGCGTTCGTGTCCCTGTGTACTCATTATTGCGAGGAGATGCTAACTGCGAGGGTACAGAGAGCCTAATCTGCGAGTCACAAGTATGGCTCTATTACTCCCAGATTGCCCATCCGTCCCATGAAACTAACCTTTTCCAGTCATTGCGGCTGATGGCCTGTATAAAAGAGATGTGTTCAGTGAGTGTCGATAATATACCGAACAGCAAAGATGTGGTTACTGAGAACATTCAGGATTCCCCGACCCCTTTGCCGTCGCAACCATTTCGGGAGAACAAACAAAGACAACTTCGGTCATCAGGAAAACATTGAATCCCTACTGGAATGAAGTCTTTGATATGTGGGTAACAAGCGGTCATTGACTGTGGGGACGCAATATTGACTACTGGGCAGGAGAGTCACAGAGGATAGCATACTGGCGATCCAAATCTTCGACCAAAAGAAGTTCAAGAAGAAGGACCAAGGCTTCCTTGGTGTCATCAATATCCGGATCGGCGATGTCATCGACCTGGAGATGGGGGGCGACGGTATACCCAGTATCTTCTACCGTGTTGAAATACACACTAACCCGTGATTAGAGATGCTTACGAGGGATCTTAAGAAGTCCACTGACAACCTCGTCGTCCATGGCAAGTTGATCGTGAATTTGTCCACCAATCTTTCCAGCCCTCCTCCTCAGCAAAATCGACCACCCCCAAGCACCGCTTCTAGTGTAAATGGCTCCAACCCATATGCCGGAAGCAGCACCAACGTCAACCAGCCATTGCCCATTCGGTCCAGAAGCCCGGCGACGCGAACTGCTACTTCTGGCTCCGGAGATGCGAGATCATCCAACACGGCAGTCAATGGAAGTAGTACCCCCCAACCAAACGGTGCCGGTGCCGGGAGATCTGGAGGCTTCAGCTCTTTTGAAGACAGTCAAGGCCGTTTGCCAGCTGGATGGGAGCGGAGAGAAGACAACCTGGGCCGCACTTATTATGTTGATCATAACACTAGAACCACGACCTGGACTAGGCCTTCCAACCACATGAGCGAGACCGAAGCACGTAACCGCGTGGAGGCCAACATGCAGATGGAACGTACACGACACCAAAACCGTATGCTTCCAGAGGATCGTACGGGAGCCAACTCCCCGAACTTGCAGGAATCCCGTGGCTCACCTCAGCAACCGAATGCGGTGTCCATGATGGCTACAGGGGCAACAACCGCCGGGACTGGCGAACTTCCTGCTGGTTGGGAACAAAGGCACACTCCCGAAGGGCGAGCTTATTTTGTTGACCACAATACTCGAACCACAACCTGGGTGGATCCTAGAAGACAGCAGTATATTAGGATGTACGGCAATAACCCGTCTGGGAACAACACCACCATCCAACAGCAGCCGGTCTCGCAATTGGGACCATTGCCTAGTGGGTGGGAAATGCGCTTGACCAACACCGCGCGGGTATATTTCGTGGACCACAACACCAAGACCACGACCTGGGATGATCCAAGACTGCCCTCTTCCTTGGATCAGGGCGTGCCGCAATATAAGCGTGACTTCAGGCGGAAGCTGATCTACTTCCGTTCGCAACCTGCATTGAGGATCCTTTCCGGTCAATGCCACATCAAAGTCCGCCGTGGCGCCATTTTTGAGGACTCGTATGCTGAAATCATGCGCCAAAGCGCAACCGACCTCAAAAAACGACTAATGATCAAGTTTGATGGGGAAGACGGTCTGGATTATGGTGGTCTTTCTCGGTAAGAAACCTTTTTAGATCGTTGTCCTTCACATTGCTAACACTTGACTAGCGAGTTCTTCTTCCTCCTTTCACATGAAATGTTCAATCCATTCTACTGTCTATTCGAATACTCAGCACACGACAATTATACACTACAAATCAATCCTCACTCCGGTATCAACCCAGAGCACTTGAACTACTTCAAATTCATTGGGCGAGTGGTTGGTCTTGCGATCTTCCATCGTCGATTCCTAGATTCCTTCTTCATTGGAGCATTTTACAAGATGATGCTGAGAAAGAAAGTCACCATCAACGACATGGAGGGTGTTGACGAAGAATATCACAAGAACTTGACATGGATGCTTGAAAACGACATCACCGACGTTCTCGATCAGACCTTTTCAATTGAGGACGAACAATTTGGCGAAACAAAGACAATTGACCTGAAACCCGGTGGTCGAGACATTGCGGTCACTAACGAAAACAAGAGAGAATATGTCGAGTGAGTGTCAATTCCACTTTCCCGACTAAAAGGTAATATTCTAACCTTCATCTAGGCTTCTCACCGAGTGGAAAATCCAGAAGCGGGTTGAAGAACAATTCAATGCCTTCATCACTGGTTTTAATGAACTCATCCCCGCTGACCTTGTGAATGTCTTCGACGAGCGCGAACTCGAGCTTTTGATTGGCGGTATCGCCGACATTGACGTGGATGATTGGAAGAAACACACCGACTATCGCGGATACCAAGAGCAAGATGAGGTGATCCAGAACT